AGCGGCCCTCCAGAGGTTAGGAATTGTCCATGTGGAGGAAAACGCAAGAATGTAGAGCCGGATTGGTGTCCCGATCTTGGAAGGCACCTGGGGGAAGCCTCCTAAACCTCCAGCCTTGATTTCCCCAGCCTCATTTTGTACTGTGGCGTTCAGCTGAGACACCGGATGCGAAAGCTTGCTCAACGCCAGATCGATGCTCATTATGTCATTAGCTGTCTTTCTCCAAGTCCGGGCAGCTGGGAAGCAGGCTTCCTGCTCTCCGACAGCCCCGCAGCCCGCTCCTGCTCCCTGCCCAGCGCGGCGGCTTCTCTCGGGTCTGTGTAAGCGCGGCCTGTGCGCTGGGCCTCTGCCAGGTCTCCCTGCCCTTTGCCACGTTCCTGTCAGTCTGTGGTTTTAGACTCCAGCTTCATCGGAAATGCAAACTAGCAAATCCCCTTTTTGTGGGTGCAGAGTGGAAGGGGTGCAGGAGTAGCTGAGGGGAAGGAGAAGCTGGCTGCCAACAGCCTCCTGTGTTCCAGCCAGTAAACGCTGGCTACTGTCTGCATAAGCCTTTAAGCCGACTGAATTGTCTTCTGAGCGCCAACAGCATGATTATCTGCCCGGGCCGATAAACTTCCCGAGACGATGGTGTGCACATCTGCTGTCCAAAGAATTTTTAAAAGATTCCAACAGAACAGCGTTTGGAGTAAGAACTAGTTCTGAGTTTTAACCACCGGTTAGCAAGTTTGTGAGTCTCGATACTTCTTTAAGACCAATTATTGATTGAGACGGTCCTAAAGCATGTTCACCTACAGCAGTGGTCGGCAAACTCCTCAGTCAACAGAGCGGCAAACCGTGGCTCACGAGGCGCATGTGGCTCTCGAGCCACGGTTTGCCAACCACTGACGTACAGCATTTGAAGGCAATTCTTGTGGCTCATTTTCTTTGAATGTACCGTGTTTCCCCGAAAATAAGACATCCTCCGAAAATAAGACCTACTTACAGGTTTCCTTCTGAGTGAAATATAAGGCATCCCCCCGAAAATAAGGCCCCCCTAGGCTAAACATGAGAGATTTGGTCCACTGATTCTGAAAGAAATGGAGTCACAGGAAATTTAGGAATTGGATTGTTGCGATGATGTTCCAGAAGATGATGACATGATTGTCATTGAATAAATGAGTAAATTCTTGATACCGTAGGATTCACAGTTTGTCTGGTCTGTGTTGACAACTACCGTCCTACCGTACCGTATACAGGGAATAAATGTCCTTCATTTTCATTTAACAATAAATGTGTGCTGTATTCTTCTTCATGGAAAAATAAGACATCCCCTGAAAATAAGACCTAGCGCATCTTTGGGAGCAAAAATTAATATAAGACACTGTCTTATTTTCGGGGAAACAGGGTAGGTCTGCCTCCATTTCTAAGGATCCCAAGTACCTTTCCTTACTGCAGTAAAATAGAAGGGGAAAGATTTAAAACGCTCTTGGTTCTTTCCTCGGATCTAAATGAGGTCTTGGCTTGGTCCTCCCTTGCACGGGCTGACGTTCCCCACCCAGAGCACGAACCAGTTGGTTCGGTGTGGCCGGTTCGCAGCTGGTTACTGATTGCCAGCCAGGAGGCGGGGAGCACTGCAGCTTGTCTCCATCACCGAAGATAAGCGTGCGGCTGGCGGTAAGCCCTCAGCACGACGGGTCAGGACCCAATGAAATGCTTTTGCACAAGTGTTACTGTACTTCCCTGAAGTTTTTTTAAAAAGCTTTCTTTCCTAGATGTTTCTAAAAATAGACTGCGTTCGTTCTTAGTTTGACGCTGTCTGCAGCTCGGCTATTGCTAACACTCACACTAGGAAAAAAAAACCACCCGTTTAGGACTGTATGTGTGTGAGAGAGAATTATCTAGTATTTTCACACGGGGATGTGACTGTAGTGCGGGTGGGGAATGTCCTGCCTGAGGACCGTACAGGGCCCAGTAAGTCATTAGGTCTGGCCCTGCCAAGGCATTGGGGTGAGTGAATTGAGTGTTGGACTATTACAGGCTAATTCTGAAATTGACCGTTTTATGTGGCCCTGGAATGATGTTATGAATATCCGAAGGGGCTTTGGCAGAAAACAGGTTCCCCAGCCCCGCTGTTGGACAACCCCTGTACGTCCCCACGATCTAGGCTTTATTGCAATTACCTCGGGGAAAGGCAGGGTGCTGGGGAAGGGGTGGGCGACTCCCACTCAACTCACAGTGCTGAGGCGGGAAAGGAAGACAAGTAGCAGGTGGGTCGATCAGAGGGGAAGGCAGGTGCACACGCCAACTGCAGAAGGTTGCTCTGCGCATGTGGAATTGGGGTACTGTGTGGAGTTTGACAGCTCAATGCCGAGAGGACCGACTTAGCCTCAAAGTCTGCTTAGCCTCAAAGTCTCCCGTAAGCATCTCCCTCAGAGAGGCCCAGCCTGATCACTGGATGTGAATGGTGGTTACACCCGTCACATCTTGTAGATATTAATTTTGTACTGTATTCCCCCCCCAGCTGGTTGGCTCACTGAGCACCCAGCCTGTCTTTAGCGCTGTCCTCCAGCTCCCAGCACCCGCCCGGTGCCCACTCGATGCTCAGATATGTTCAGGGACTGGAGTCGTTTAATTCCTATGAATTCATCTAGAATAAAATGTGCTGTGAGTGTATATTGACAGTCTGTTTCTTTCCTGGTCTGCCTTGTGTTGGTTCAACATACCACCCAACATCTGATCATTTCAGTGGCTTTTCAAAATATGCCCATTGTCTCTCCCTATTGGGGAGCTGAGCAGAAAGAAAACAATGTCTGTTTTCAGAGCTGGCACTGGCAGTGACACTGACTGATGCATGTCCCTGCCCATGGGTGGAGCCGTGGGGTGACTCTGCTACCAGCTTCTCATTGGCCATCCTTCACCCCTCTTCTCCTGGGAAGTCAAGTATGGATTTTGCCTGCTAGTTACCTTTATCCCAGTGGGCAGCAGCACAGGGCTCAGCATGTGACTAATGCCCTGAGGGACCTTGGCAGGGGGGGTAGGCACCAGGCTGAGCTCCTCCGCCCCTGCCCCACCCCCACCCTGCCGCCTTTTCTGTGTCTGCAGTGGTGTGTCACCTGCACTCAGCTGTTGGCGGCACAGATGGTGAGTGGTTTTGTAAGTACTGGTGTTTTCTCTCCAGAATTCTGACCTGAAGAAATGTGCTTATCTGTTCCTGCTCTGTTGTCATGTCAGAGCTTGAAATTTCCAGTGTGTGTGTGTGTGTGTGTGTGTGTGTGTACATACATATGTACTTACACCTACACAGAGCTGTTGTAGCATAAGATTGCGTGAGCTGAACAAATTAATTCTATTGGGCCCTGTAGTATCAGTGGCCAATGAAAACACTTGATATGCTGCTACGCTGTAAAGAAAAAAATACAGTAGCCCAGATTGAAATTAAAGGAGGATTTCTGTATTTGAAAAAGGAGGATTATTTTCAGTCTGTGTAAAAGAACATATAACAAGTAGCTCACAGATACCTGAACTTCAAGCTAAACGAACCCTTAGTGGATTGCCAGGAAATTTTCGAGAAAACTCTTTCAGATCACTTACTGTTCTTTCCTTTCCTTTCCTACCAGACTTACTATAGAGCTAAAGTTATTCATCAATAACTTTCTAATGAGAATTATTCTTCTATATTATCTGTACTTCACATTTTTATACTAGTGTATATGTAAATTGTAACATGCAATTTGAGGCTGTAATATACTTTAAGTTCATCTAATTTTGGCTTCTAAATTTTGTTTACAAACTTTTATTACCTCTGAACCTTACCGTTCTGCACGCAGGACTAACCACCGAACACTGGCAGAGGACATACCGTAATAACGATGTCTCCCATTTATTGAGCACTTTCGGTGCCTCGTACCGTTCTAAGTTCTATGTGAATTACTTAGTCCTCACAAAAGCCCTCCGAGATAGGTTAACCTTTCCCACCTCCATGCAGACACCAGGAAACGGAGGCACAGAGAGGAGAAGTCATTTGTCCCAAATCACACAGCTCATGAGCCGGGGAGGCAGGATTTGGTTTTAGAAACCTGGGATCTTAAATCCTATTCTATACGTTTTCTCAAACACTGTGCTGTCACCTCTCTCCGAGTGTGCGGTGGTTGGTGTACGGTTTCTGTGTGTCACCTGTGTTGGCTGTGCTCCGCTGAGGAACACAAAGGAAGTTCTTTTATCAGGACAGCCAGCGGTGTTTCCCCAGGCGCCTGCTTCTGCTGCCGCTTCCAGGTGCAGGGCGGGGGCGGGAGACACACAGTGACATTGGGCCGGGCTGTTGGCCAGTTGGGAGCTGGTTGTGGGACAAATGGAAGCCGGAGGGCCTGGGTGGTTTGGGCTTGTGTGTGCCTCTTCGCTCCTCCCCGGGGCTGTGCTGGCGGCAGTGACTCTGTGATGCGGTGGAGGAGAGCAGGGGTATCCTCTCAGGGGAGGGAAGGGTGACTTATGCCACTCAGCTGAGCAGTTCACGCCGCTAGGCACCGCTCATCTTCCCCTCACGTTTCCACCAACCGAGGGAAGGTTCTGTGCGTAAACATTTTTTTTTTAAAATATATTTTATTGATTTTGTACAGAGAGGAAGGGAGAGAGATAGAGAGTTAGAAGCATCGATGAGAGAGAGTCATCGATCAGCTGCCTCTTGCACACCCCTACTGGGAATATGCCCGCAACCAAGGTACATGCCCTTGACCGGAATCGAACCCGGGACCCTTCAGTCCCCAAGCCGACGCTCTATCCATTGAGCCAAACCGGTTTCAGCGTAAACATTTCTAAATGAGGTTCGTGGAAGCTGGACGCAGGCTGACAGAGGCAGAACGCTTCCTAAGGGAGCTTACAGAACGGGAAGCGCAGCCGGGAGGAGGCCTGGGCCGTGGCTGTGGCCGGCGGGTGGCGTGGGCTCTGGCATCGCAGGGGGGTCCGGCCCGGGATGAACATGTTTCTCTCTCTCCCCACAGAAGCCAGCGTAGGGCAGCACCGGGACGATGCAGGCCCACGAGCTGTTCCGCTACTTCCGGATGCCGGAGCTGGCCGATGTGCGGCAGTACGTGCGCACGCTGCCCACCAACACGCTCATGGGCTTCGGCGCCTTCGCCGCGCTCACCACCTTCTGGTACGCCACGCGGCCCCGCGCCCTGAAGCCGCCCTGCGACCTCTCCATGCAGTCGGTGGAGGTGGCGGTAAGTGGGGGGCTGGCCTGCCCGGGTCCCCCTGCCCTTCCCCAAGGGGGAGTCAGACGTGATGGCTTGCAGGGCGCTTGGCAAGGGGAGATGGACCCAACAGACAAGTTTGCCGATGACTGTAAGTGGAGGTGCAGGCCAGAGTATGGGGCAGAGGGACAGGTGAGGGGTGTTGGCTGGGGGTCTGCCCATTGTCACTCGGGCTCAGCCCACAAGTCCCCGGCGCCTCTCCCCTGCACTGGCACTGCGGTCGCCCCAAGATTCTGCGACAGGAGCCACAGGAGGGACAGGCAGAGTCCCAGCTCTCGCAGGCCTTGTGTTCCCGCAGAGAAGAGGGCTGCCCCGCGCATGTGCAGTATCTGAAAGTTAGAACACATCCCGCAGCCATTGAAAGGGACTCTGGGATCTTAAATAGAACCTGCCAGAATGACGCGGCCACAGCTTTGATAGGACACCCGGGCGTCTGCGGTTGCGCTGCTGAGTGCCATGGCTGTGTGTCCCTCGGGCAAAGGGAAGGTCAGGCTGTCATTGCTGGAAAACACACCGGAGTGTGCCCTCCATAAGGCGGCCGAACGGTGGGATGGCCGAGGACATGGGAACGGCCCGGCTCCTTCCCAGCCTCTGCTCCTTCCTCCGCCTCGAACCTTCCCCCGGCCAGTGGAAACGGGAGGGGAAGGTGAGCGGTACTCAGCGGCGTGACTCCTGCCCCGCTCTCCATGCTGTCCTTTCTCCCTCTCCTGCCCGACCCCGGTGCCTGTCCAGTGCGCGGGGCCTTCGACTTATATGAGAAACAGCTGTAAATGCAGGATTGCCTCACGCCCTGCCTCAGATGTAGGTGAGAAGCCTCCTCCCGGCAGGCAGGCCTGTGGGGGGAGGGAGCGTGCCCTTCTAAATATAGCTGCTTCTTACTTACAAGATTTCTGTTCATTTAGCACCACGCTCTAACCAACTGAGCTAACCGGCCGGTGGTGTTAGACAATCTCTTGGGTTCGTTAATGTGACACTCATAAAATAGAAAAGACATGCCAGTTTTATTCCTGTCAAAATGTGAGAATAGAAGGAGTGAACTGCTGAGGAAAGATGGCTCTCAGATACTTTATTTCTGTATTGAAGGTCAGCTTATTAGTTCACCTCAGCTAATGATATTCCAATGGTGAGTAGAACCTAATGCGTTCTGACAGGCACCAGTGAGGTCTGGGGCATGCTCTCTCTCCGATGCCTCCCAGCAGCATTGCCCTCACTGTGAAAAGAGAGCTTGGTGAGTGCAGATTTAAGATCTTTGTAAGTTAGGCCGGCCGGTGTTGCTCAGTGGTTGAGCCTTGACCTACAAACCAGGAGGTCAAGGTTAATTCCCGGTCAGGGCACATGCCCGGGTTATGGGCTCCATCCCCAGTGTGGGGTGTGCAGGAGGCAGCCCATCAATGATTCTCATCATTGATGTTTCTTTCTTTCCCTCTCTTTTCCTCTCTGAAATCAATAAAAGTATATTTTTAAAAAGCGATGTTTATAATTTAAGTTCCAGCTTAGCATGAAGTCACTGAGTCTTATTGAAATACTCATACCTTTTCACTGTAGACCAGTTTAAAACTACAGATAAGCAGAAAGAAAATTACAATCTGTAATTTCACTACCCGGTATGTAGGCTTCCTGATTTTTCTTAGAAATGGATTTAGCTCAGATGTTCAGAATTTGTAGGTTTACAGACTTTGCTTTGCATTTCTAAAAGGTCATCTTACAATAATGGATTTGAGATTAGCCTTGGATGATACTTAGTAGTTATAAATGCTTGTCTGGAGCGTACTCATCACATGGGCTTCTGTGGCAGAGAGAGGAACTTAATTCATTTCATTAAGTATTAATCAGGAGCTTGTGTATCTGGCAGGGCCAGCCGCCCGATGAAAATGTTGTCGCTTCACTCCTACTTGGAAAACAAGCGAGCGCCCTGTGCCAGTCCCCACTCTCACCCCACGTCCCCTGTCACACCCGTGGCCCGCACCCTCTGCTCCCCGTACACTCTGCTGGGTATTAGCTCTTTGGGGTTTGGCTGCGTCTCCTCCCTGCCCACACTGGCTGTTTTTAAAGCAGCAGCACTGAGGTCTCTTATAAAAGTCACATCTGTTGACATATCCTTTCACACATCTGGCTCGTACAGAGGACGTTAGCACTCATATCTGCCACCTGCACAGGAAGGCGATAAGGACATAAACTGTAGAATGGACAGGGTCGCTGGTGTTAGCAACAGAATCCAGTGTCGATAGATAGATAGATAGATAGATAGATAGATAGATAGATAGATTGATTTTTGTTGATTTCAGAGAGGAAGAGAGAGAAACATCAATGATGAGAGAGAATCATTGATCAGCTGCCTCCTGCACGTCCCCCTACTGGGGATCTAGCCCGCAACCCGGGCATGTGCCCTGAGTGGGAATCAAATGGTGATCTCCTGGTTCATAGGTCAACACTCAACCACTGAGCCACCCCAGCCGGGCAATTCGCTGCCTTCTTTAAATCTGCGAGCGAGGCCTGCTCAGCGTCCTGGGTAGAGAGCTGCGTCCCTGCCTCACTGGCAGCTCCCAGGCTGCGGCAGGGAGGTGAGGGCCAGCCTTTCCCGGGTCAGGGAAGGTTCCATCTTCCAAAGGGAGTTTGCTGCTGCTGCTGCTGCATGACTTCGAGCAGACGACAGAAGCGAATTGTTGTGCTTGTTCTTCCCCCCAATCACTCTCACACGTGGGCATTAGCTTAGCTGGTCTCAGCCTGTTCTCTGCGATTGTGGTCCCCATCCCCCCCTGTAAAGATGACCTCCCCTGGGGTGACTGGGAACCATTAGGGACTGGTCAGGGCCCAGACCGCGGCGGCTGCAGCAGGGACACAGGAGAGCATGTTGGAGCTGGAGGGGACCAGGCCAGAGAGAGGAGGCCGAGGCTGAGGCCGGACCGCCCCTCTGCGTGGACCAGGCAGCCGTGGGCAAGTGCTCCCGCCTTTCCTGACCTTCAGTTCCTCGTCTGGGAGACTGAGTGCCAGCGCCTCCCCCAGCACGTTGGTAAGAGGACCGTGTGGAGATACGCAGAGGTCTCCCTGGCCCCCTGGACGTCCGTGCTCAGTGAATGCCAGTTTTCTTCTGGAAAGGTCTCCTCGTTCACCCTCACAAGTGCATGTGAGAGAAAACTATCATCTAAGGAGGGAGCTGCACCGGCCAGCCAGCTCAGTGCGCAGCCCGGTCTGCTGCCTCCATCGCGGTGCAGTCATGTATCGCACCTGTGGCCGGAGGGGGCGATAGATACATAGGACCAGAAGGAACGTTTGGGTCTTTCTAGATAAATCGGAAGGATCGGTGGCTAGAGCTCTCGATCCTAGGAGCAGGCTCTTCTGAAAATGGATGCACAGGGAAGTGAATCCAAAGGTGGTGATGGAGCTGAGAGGACGAAGGGGGGGTGGTTAGGTCAGAGATGGGGTCTGGGGTTCTGCACATAGTGGAACATGGGATCAGAAGCTGTCAGGAATGGGAGTGAGGACGGGGAAGGGACACAGCTGTCCGAACCTGGGCCGCAGCAGCAAGAGCTGGGCCCATGAGCTTCTGCCTTCTCCTCACCCTGCACCCTCAAGGCGGGCCGGGAGCCGGGGGCTGGAGAGGGGGTGTTTAGGGGAGCTTTTGCTTAGATGTGTTATTCTCGGGGGGGTGCAGACATCGGCACTTTTATACCAGTAAGTGACTTTTGCACCTTTTCTAAAACCTGGGGCTTTTAATAACTATGAAAACCTGGCTAACTCACTTTTTCTTTTCTTTTTCTTAAATATATTTTATATTGATTTTTTTTTTTTACAGAGAGGAAGGGAGAAGGATAGTTAGAAACATCAATGAGAGAGAAACATCGATCAGCCGCCTCCTGCACACCCCCTACTGGGAATGTGCCTACAACCAAGGTACATGCCCTTGACAGGAATCGAACCTGGAACCCTTGAGTCCACAGGCTAACGCTCTATCCACTGAGCCAAACTGGTTTCGGCTAACTTACTTTTTCTTACTAAACTCACATTGTGGGGAACAACCGGGTTTCCATGTGTTGTTGGACTTGGCCGCTAACTTGAGAGCGACCAGTGTTTTGAATGCGGTGGGAGAGGGTTCGCTGGTCATGGGAGGCGGTTTTGGGGGGTGGGCTCTGAGGGGAGGGCCAGGCAGGACAGGGAACTGGGGAGGAGTTTCTTAGCTGGGTGCCATGCCTGGCCACAGAAGTACCAAGTGGCTGCCTTCGGGAATTCCAAGCAGGGAGGGGGATTGTTTTAGGAAAAACATCCTGGGTTCCTCTAACCGGGAAGAAACGTCCCAGGACACTGGGTGGGAATACGGTGAAGCAGGTCTGAAAACACAGTGTCGTTTTGTAGAAACGGTGGCACTTCCCGGCCTCAGCCAGCCGGGAGCACGTGTGCTCTCATGTGGGCTGTGATGCTCCTTTGTTTTTTGGTTAATCCTCCTCCAAGGATATTTTCCCATTGATTTTTGGGGAGAGTGGAAGAGAGAGGGGGAAAGACAGAGAGAAACCTGGATGTGAGAGAAACACACCGATTGGCCGCCTCCTGCACGAGCCCTGACAAGGGCCAGGGTTGGGGCGGAGCCTGCAATCAAGTACATGCCCTTGACCGGAACTGAACCCGGGACCGTTCAGTCCACAGGCTGACGCTCTGTCCACTGAGCCAAACTGGCTAGGGCTGTAATGCTTATTCAAGTTTAAAAATAGCCTCCCCGAAGCAGGTTCAGCTCACGCCAAGTGGAAAACGATGGACGTGAGCGTTCCCAGCCTCTGGACACAGATCCTGGGTTACGCCAGCCTCTCACAGGCCACGCTGGGCTCTGGGCCCTGTAGCCTTCGCTTCGGGAGCGAGGGACGCCTTACCCGTTCTAAACGGCAGGTGTACTGAGGGGCCCCGGGCCGGCTCCTTGTGCTGGTACCGTGTGGGTGTATGTGTGTGTGTGCGTGCATGCACGAATTTGGATTTTGTGGCTT